TATATATAATTATATATGGAACTTTTTTTCCCGGGGAGATATCAGATATCTAAAATTGCAAACAGAATATATAATTTTGATCGTCTCTAACGAATTTTTGATAATTGATGTAGATATTATTGTTTACATAGATGATACATATATAGTCTACTGCATTTTACATGTGTAATGTAGTGTTATTAATTTAATTTACTATACGCGTAAATGCGATACCCAATTCTGCAATTTGAATATTATTAAGGAATTCCTTGATAAGGAAGATTATTCGAACGATGCGTTCTCACGGTAATTTTTCTTCACTCAACATCGATAGTGTCGATAATGTATCTTGATATCAATGTAGAATTTTTTAAATTTTCGGCCGAACGATGGCGCTTTCGCATTGGTATTCACGTTCACGCACGTGTATCATCTTACTTATCGACCTTGCGATGTGTTTACATACAGACATACTTGACTCTAACAAAAATATACGTGTGAAACTACTGCATTTCATTGGAATTATAAGAAAAATGGGACGGAATGTTTCTCGAGTTGCATAAAACATGTGAGTTTAAAAAAAGCTGATATTTGGGCGTGCATATCTAAATTTACTATATATTTATCTATGTTTATTCTCGTATCAATAGGATCAATAGTATCGATTTCATTGAAAATAACTGTAGTCAGTGAACGTTTTTAAGAGAAATTGAAATTCTTTTTAAATTAAGAGGTAAAGCTAAATAATGATGTTTTTGATTATTGACTGCGACTTTAAAATCAAATACTTTCATCTTTAACTCCATTCTAAATAGGACAAACCTTTGAAATCGACATAGTTTAGCTGCTGCTATAAAGAGTGTTTATATTAAAATTTTTTTATTTATCTACATTTATTCTTGTATCAATAGTTTCGATTTCATTGAAAATAACTGTAGTCAGTGAACATTTTTTTAAAAGAAATTGAAATTCTTTTTAAATTAAGAGATAAAGCTAAACAATGATGTTTTTGATTATTGACTGCGACTTTAAAAACAAATACTTTTATCTTTAACTCCTTTCTAAATAGGACAAACCTTTTAAATCGACATAGTTTAGCTGCTGCTATAAAGAGTGTTTATATTAAAATAATTTTTTTACAGATCGATTCCTGCATGTACCTTTTCGCTGCCTGAATGTCATGTCACCGCTTGACTTAAACAAGCTCAAGAAGAGGCCACTGGAGGCTTCGGAGCGACCCAAGAAAAAAGTAGACAGATTCGATGGATTGACGGAGGAGGAGATAGCCGAGAGGTATACACTGGAAGATTATCTGGAGATGAATCTGGATATAGTGTTTGTCGGAATCAATCCGAGTTTAACGGCAGCGCACCGCGGTAGGTACTACGCGGGTCCCGGCAATCACTTCTACAAGCTTCTGCACGAGTCCGGCCTGACGCCGAGAGCCGTCAGCTTCGAGGAGGACTACAAACTCCTGCGACACAGTATCGGCCTGACGAACATCGTAGCGCGCCCCACCAGATCCGCCGCGGATCTCAAACGGACCGAACTGAAGGAGGGTGCTGAAGTGGTGAGGGAAAAATTGGCATTGTACAAGCCCAGGATCGCGGTGTTCAATGGCAAGTGCATCTACGAGGTGTTCGCCAGCATCACCGCCAAGTCCGTGTTTCACTTTGGATTGCAGCCAGAGCGCATCGGTGAGCACACCGCGATCTGGGTGACGCCGTCGAGCAGCGCGCGATGCGCCAATTTCCCGAGGATGGTGGACAAGCTGCATTTCTACACGGCGCTGAAGAAATACCTGCGTCACCTGAAGGGCGAGATCACCGACGTCGATACGAAGGAATTCTCTTTTCAGACAGGCAGGCGGGTTGCGCACAGCACTTCTAAGATGTGGCGGCGCAAGAACGTCTCCACTTTTCTACACGGCGGTAGAGTTGTCAACAAAAATACGCTTTGCCCGAATGCATCCGAGGAGGATATCGCTTCGATTCGCACGGCGGAATTTCTAGTGGAAAAATCTAATCGCGAGAAATATGATAAAGACGAGGGAACGTCTGTCAGCGAGGAAACGTATAGTCGAGAAGACGTTGAAAGACAAGAATCGGTCGACGAAACTGTTGGGAAAGCTGAGAGGAGTACAAAGGAAACGGAAAAGCTTATGGATGATGTTGGTGATGAAATGATGATTGTCAACGGGTCAGAGACTAAAGAAATCTCCGATATTAATAGCGAAGAGGAAAAAAGTTGCGCCGTTGTGATTAACGATATTTTAAGTCACGAAAATAATGCAGACAATTTGGAAAATAATGGATGCACGTCTTCAAAGATTACTCGCCAAACTCCAGGAACCGAAAATAATGCAGACAATTTGGAAAATAACGAATGCACGTCTTCAAAGATTACTCGCAAAACTCCAGGAACCGAAAATAATGAATATACGTCTTCAAAGATTACTCGCAAAACTCCAGGAACCGAAAATAATGAATATACGTCTTCAAAGATTACTCGCAAAACTCCAGGAACCGAAAATAATGAGTATACGTCTTCAAAGATTTCTCGCAAAACTCCAGGAACCGAAAATAATTTGATAAACTGCAATCGAAGTGATACAGACTTTATGAGCTTAATCAAACAAAGACTGTCTCAGAAAAACAGTAGCAGTGATATCGTATCCACTACCTCAAGATCGAAATCTAATTCTAAAAGAAAATAAAATGATAAATATCAGTGATAACGATAAGTATTAGTGTGATTTCAAATTTCAATGATTTACCTGTTTTTACATTTTGATTGCATGTACATATGTCGTATTTTTTGTAACTTGAGATTTTGCTATCAAGATATTTATTATGTATAAAAATACAAACTGCAATTAAATCCCATAACAAAAGATATCTCTCCTTGTTACATTTTCTTGCTATAAGTGCTTAATAATCGCAATTCAGCGTAATCAATATAAGAAATGTTGAATTAATTTAAAAACTGATATTCATTTATTATATATAAAATAAATTTTATTGATTTTGTATTTGCAAGATTTGTTACATTAACTCAAGGAACGAATAACAAGGAAACATTGGTGAGGACATGTGTATAGAATTAGTCAAGTTTAACTGCAATTTCTTTGGTTCTGAACATTATTATGCAAAACGTTTGTCCAAAGTATCGAAAACTTTTTAATGATATATTATGAGCGTACCTCTACTATGTGAATCGATCTCTACTTATACTGCTGCTTAGTTTAAGCTTATCACCAAAACGTATTTACACTTAAAATTAATTACTTCAGTCACATATAATGAAATACGGATTGAACACTTGCACACGTGTGTGCATCATACAATGTCTCATTTACACATCTATTGAAAGATTTCACCGTCCAAATCCACCGTCGGAGAGAGACGTTACTTTCTGTTGTATTATTTTACCGTAGCCACCTCGTCCACTGTCAAAGTCAGATCGATATTCATCCCTCACCTAGAATATTAGAAATAATATTACATGTTAAATATATATCTCGTGCCTAAATTACTTTTACATGTAAGACATTCAAGATAAATAATAAAATATATATTATATAAAATTCAATTTAAATAAAACAAAAATTAGTTTAAAAAACGGCATTAAGAGTCAACAAGCAGAACTCGTTGAGTTAAAATTATTCATAAAATTATATTCAGAAAATTAGCGAATTTACATCCTCTTACATATCTCGTAGAGATGTAAGATGTAAATTTGCCAACTTTCTGAGTACAATTTCATAAAAAATTTTAACACAACGAGTTCTGTATGTTGACTCTTGACTCGTGGTGTTAAAATTTTTCATAAAATTATATTCAGAAAGTTGGCGAATTCAAATCTTACATATCTCGTAGAGATGTAAGATGTAAATTTGCCAACTTCCTGAGTACAATTTCATAAAAAATTTTAACGCAACGAGTTCTGTGTGTTAACTTTTGACTCGTGGCGTTAAAATTTTTCATAAAATTATATTCAGAAAGTTGGCGAATTCACATCTTACATATCTTGTAGAGATGCAAGATGTAAATTCGCTAACTTTCTGAATATAATTTTATGAAAAATTTTATTGCAACGAGTTCTGTTGATTCTCTTAATGCCCTTCTTTGACTAATTTTTGTGTTTTACATTAAAGATAAATTACCTGTCCTCCAGTTTTGCCACGACCGTATTGTCTACCCTCAATAAAGCCAGCGTCCCAATCAGTTCTGATTATTCGGTCGTCTAAACGAGTGCCATTTATGTATCTCATACAATTCTCGGCATCGGCTCTCAGATAATACTCGACGAAGCAGAAGCCACAGGGTGTCTTCTTGTACTTGTCCAGGCCCATAATGATGCGCCTTATGTCACCGCATTTGGTAAACAATTCATATATCTGTTCCTCGGTGGTGTAAAACGACAGATTGCCCACGTACAAAGTGGTGGAATTCCTTAGAAGTCTGTCCTGCTCAGCCCTTGTGCCCTACACGAAGGAAGAAAGATAAAGGGGGATGGATCAGTTATTTGCAGGGGTTAGTAAAATAACTGGTACAACTTATTTAAAATAATAAATATAAAATAGATTCCAGAAACTTATTTAAAATAAAATATCGCAGGGGAGCCAATAAAAAAACTGATAACTTAGTTAAAATGAAAAATATAAATTGATTCCAAAAACATATTTAAAATATTAAATATAAAATAGATCAAAAGAAGCTATTTAAAATAATAAATATTAAATAATTCTTTTAGTTTAAAGTACATATTTTAAATAATGTTATTTTAAATACGACCGATCCCTGATAAGAAGAAGTCGATAAAGTAACTGATATAACCTATTTAAAATAACAAATATAAAATAGATTCCAGAATTAAGATTTATTAAAAATGTTGGAAAATATAAAATAGATTCCAAAAACATATTTAAAATATTAAATATAAAAATATTAAATATTAAATATAGAAGCTATTTAAAATAATAAATACTAAATAACTCTTTTACTTTTTGTTATTTAAAATATACATTTCAAATAATATTATTTTAAATATGACCGATCCCTGATAAGCAGAAGTCAGTAAAGTAACTGATATAACTATTTAAAATAACAAACATAAAATAGATTCCAGAATTAAGATTTATTAAAAATGTTGGAAAATATAAAACGGATTCCAAAAACATATTTAAAATATAAAATAGAATAAGCTATTAAAAATAATAAATACTAAATAACTCCTTTACTTTTTGTTATTTAAAATACACATTTTAATAATGTTATTTTAAATACGACCCCTGATTATTTGTAGTTTTAAAAAAAATCTACTTATATCAGATACACATGTAATTTCAATGCAATTACACTGATCTCTTTCTCGAGCAATTTTTTAAATGTTGACTAACAATAAGCTTGTTCGCATTGCTTGAAATCCCCGAAAAATTTTCACCACTCCAAACGAGATAAATATTACCTATATATTCGGAGAAAATGAAAATTCTAAGTAAAAAAGCAACGCGAACAGATGTAATAATTATTAACTTAAAATTACAAACTATGCGAATGTAAGAAACATACAAAAGTAAGATGAACCAGATATAGTTGAGGTTTTGAGGTTAATTATAAATAAAAAAAAGGAAAAACCTTAAAATGTTGATCACGATAGGAGCTTAATTCGACTGACGGCGAGCTGTTTGTGCTTAATTTGACCGACATCTTCCACGATGTTCAAGTAGCTCAATTCCGCACTTCAAAAGAGTCAACTTCTGTCTGAAATCTAACGCATCTGCAAAATCCAAAGCAGAGAAAATAAAAGCGAACGTCGAGGCAGAGTAAACTCGAGAGCAGCCGGCAGTGTCTACTGTCTCTTTTGGCACACACAGCTTGTCTCTTTCGCCATGTATCAAAAATTGTAGCGACACCAACGGAGAGGAAATAAATTATCGCGAACGCACGTCAAGGGACTTTTTGCGATGAGTTTGCGAACGTGGCCGAGGTCTCACCGGCCAATCGACGTTCGCCTTTTGGACAAGACGGACGAATGGCGGTAGACGATTGGTTCTCGCACGTGCCACGCGTTCGGCGGCCGATATCAGCTGCGTTTACGAAAGGCGTGGGATGTTCTTTCGATTCTTCGACTCCATTGCGTGCGTGCATCGGCAGGGTGAGTGCGGATTTATTTTTGACGTATTGAGCGGTAATTCGCCCGGCGACGATCGAAATTCACGCGAACGCTTCACTCGCGTTTATTTATTAGCGATTCCTCGTTCAGTCCCTCGCGCTGAAATCCCTTATAATCCGAACAAGTCGTTCAGCATATGCGCGTGAATTTTAACCTAAAAACACGTTCGCGTGCCACCACGGGGTGAGACCTGGCCGTCAATTGTGTATCTCAGAATAAGGTGAAAAGTACAAAGGTGAAAAAATTTACTGCAATGTTTTTAATTTCGTTCGCCAATATCCAATGAATTTGCTCATTTTTGTAATTTTCACCTTGTTTCAAGATACACAATGGACCCCCTTGTGTCAGAGTATTTATAGGAGTGGTAGAAGGCATTGAATAAATTATCTGACCGGAGAAAATTACTCAAAAAAAATTATGTGCTATGGATATTATGCTTAGATTCTCAGCAGAATGAATGATTTAATCTTATGGGCTTTCTATCTCACTGATTGTGTATCTCGAAATAAGGAAAATTACAAAAATGAAAAAATTTACTGCAATATTTTTAATTTCGTTGGCCAATATCCAATGTGTTTACTCATTTTTGTAATTTTTCACCTTGTTTCAAGGTACACAATTGACCCCCTTGTGTCAGAGTATTTGTAGGAGTGGTGGAAGGCATTGAATAAATTATTGGATTGAAGAAAACTACTCAAAAAAAATTATGTGCTATGGATATTGTGCCGATTTGGGTTCTCAGCAGAATGAATGACTTTTAATTAGTTTTAATCTTATGGACTTTCTACTGTAGTAATAGACCAGAAGTTAAGAGCGAGTCAGTAATGTGTCATATGTCCATTTATAAACTCATTTCTACTAATATAGATTAACTTTAATCTCAGTTGAAAATTAAAGTTAATCTACATTGATAGATGTTTCCATCAATGTAGGTTAACTTTAATCTCGATTTAACTTATTTTTTGTCTTTTTCTAGTTCTAAGAATTAGAAGAAGATAAAGTCCTAAGAAGTCAGTAATCAGTGACTGCGTAGAAATGGCCAAATTTCATTTCCTACATTTGAAACTTACAGTGTTTTTGATTTGTTGACTCGACTTCGATTTGGAATCAATGGTCTGTTCTTTTTAACTGCGTTTCTTGCACAGTTTAGCTATTTTTTATGGCTAAAAATAACAGATCATTGACTCAGAGTTGGGTTGAGTCAACAAAATTGAAAACGCTATTAGATTGACTTCTGATCCATTATTAACAGTCTACTGTAGAAAACTTGCTAAAAATAACACAATGCTTTATGACCCAAATCCTTGTCTTTAGTAATGCACAATAATTGTCTTGTGTCTCACAATAAATGCCTTAAAAGTGTATCTGGAATTGATGTACATATGCAAACATACACAAGACAGTTATTGTGCATTCCTAAGGACCAAAACTTGGGTCGTATAACATTGTCTTAAGGTTATAAGTCAGTCATTCTACTATAAGAATCTCTTAATCCTATTGATTTCTTTTTATTTCAACTAAATACTTGTTTTGTAATAAATACGTACAAACTTACACAGAAAATTTTATATAAAAAATATAACTTTTAATTATAACTTAATATATTCTGTATCTGTAACTTACATACTTGAACATGTATGATTATACAGATTTACAAAGATTTTTTTATTAATATTAAAAGTGGGACATGCTAGATATTAAAATTAATAGTTATATAAATTTTTATTAAATAGTTGTTACACGAGAACTATATTAATTTCAATCAAGTAATATATTATAAAATAATTTTTATTAATTATTCAAAATTGTGTATTTTGCAGGGCTTTCGGTATATACAAAGAATATTGCATATACAAGCATCATGCAGCTGCAAATTCGTGGACAGGAAACAACTGTTGTTGAATGTGAAGATAATGAACAAATCAAGCATATAAAGGTATTGCTTTTTAAATAATATTATTTTAGTGCATAACATTTAATAACTGAATTTGTGTGATGATGGCCATGGATGTGTTTTTAAATATTACTTTGGTACATATAACATTTAACAACTGAATTTGCCTTTGGATAATAATGTCCATGGACATAGCATTAAAATGATAATCTAGCATTTGCTTGCCTTATAATGCTAGAACGAGCACTAATGCAAAAATAATGTGTAAATTTATGTGTAAAAGAGAAAGTTATTTTGCACTTTCACTTTTAATAAGTTTACTACAGTATTATTTTTATAATGTCTAAAAAAAATATAAACATATTAAAGAGAAAAAACTTGGAAAACATTAACAGTTTTGTTTAATTGTTTACAGGAAAGAATTGCGTGTCTGCAAAACATTGAAAATGAATTTAATCTTCATTGCAACGGAAGTTTATTGACAGATGAAATTTGTGTAAATGAACTTCCATCAGACGTACTTGAGTTGACTGTACCTTTACGGGGAGGTAAGTTAGTGGAAAATGTAGAAAATAAAATACACAAATTTAAATACACTTCATAAAAAGATATTTTAAAGCTTTGGATGTGGACAATTTGGAATTGTCAATTGTATTTACTATATAAATGTATTTGAGAAACACAAGATTTTTAAATATTATATTTATTATTGAAGAAAGGTGTACAAAAAAACGCAGATTGATTATAAAATAACTGTTTTTTGTTTTTTATTTTTTTAGGAAAGGTCCACGGTTCTTTGGCGCGCGCTGGCAAAGTGAAAGCTCAGACACCAAAGGTAAAGAGATCATTCTTCATTATTTAATTCAGGGTACTACCGGGTAAACCTAAAATTCTCAGGGAATTTTATTTTTATTCTTGAAAATCATGGATTCTCCTGGAATTTTATTGATACTCAGGGAAATTTTTTTAATCTTACTTTTAAATTTAATTTTATCCCTTTAAAAAGTAAATGTGGCCCCATATTAAAGGCTCCCGATATTGAGAGTTAATTTATTTTAAAATTGACATGTACTATATAAAGACTCTTCAATCTTAAAAACGATAATCCGGAAATAAATCAGGCATTAGCAAAAGTCTAATAACGCAGAACTTGATGCGTGAAACAATTTAATCTTCACCTATGTAATTATATCTCCATACAAAATCTTTCATTACGTTCGAAAAATTTTGTATGGAAATGTAACTATTGTACATATGAGAAGCTTAAGGGGTCTCACCACCCCTGAGAAAATTAAAAATGATACCTTAAGTTTGGGATTTTTTGTAGGTAAATGGACTTTATTTACTTAACTTTATTTAAAAGCTAGTTAGAAGACATTGTTGTATATATATAAAAAACTAAAAAAATATTTTTTTATTTTTCTTATGTCCAAAATAGCGGCGCACTGGCCTACACTTGCGGTATTCCTTTTTTTCTAGTGGTGTACAGAATTCCAGGCACATGATTTGGCCTTGAACAAAACATAAAGAATTTTCATTATCTACATATTAAAGACTATAGACGTACGCAGGGATTTTTCAAAATATTGATTTTTTTCAAAATGACTGCTGTTTTACGAAAGACTTGTATTGACAAAAATACGAACTTTTCGTAAAAGTAGCTGCCATTTCGAGAACAATCAATATTTTGAAAAATCCCTACGTACGTCTCTAGTCTTCAATATGTAGATAATAAAAATTCTTTGTTTTGCTCAAGGCCAAACCGTGTGCCTGGAATCCTGTACACCAATTTGAAAAAATAGAAAAAATAGAGTTTGCAAGTAGGCCATTGCGCTGCCATTTTGTGCATAAAAAAAATTTTTTTAAATATTTTTTTTGCTTTCTTATATATATACAGCAGTGTCCTCTAAACAGCTTTTAAATAAAGTTATCTATTTACCCACAAAAAAATCGCAAACTTAGATAATTTTAAGGCCTTAGGGGATGGTGAGACCCCTTAAATTGTTTTACACACCAAGTTTTATACGTTATTAGAACTCTTAGTGCCTAATTTATTTTAAAGCTGTATTGAGAAATTCTCTGATCTTACCTGGAATTTTGAATAAGATTCCTGGAAAATTCGGGAATTTCCAGGGAATTCTTTTGCGAAATTTGAGTACCCACTCTATAATTGAATTGAGTGTGCCAGGTTTATTATTTTCAAATGAGAAAACCTTAATTTTATTTATATTAAATGCAGTAATATGTGTGCTTGTGAAAAGAAATACATTTTGAAGCTTTGATCTCAATCTCTAATCTCATGAATTATGTCTATGTAAAATATAATACATATTTATACTAATATTAATGTATATTATATTAGGTTGAAAAGCAAGAGAAGAGCAAAAAGAAGACTGGCCGTGCTAAACGTCGCATTCAGTACAATCGCAGGTTTGTCAACGTCGTGCAAACCTTCGGCCGCCGACGTGGACCCAATGCAAACACAAATTCATAAGAAAAAAGGAATGTAATTACTATGCTATTTGTTACAATAAATTCGGATAAAATGCCATAATTAAAACATACCGAATGTGTATATTTTGTGATTGAAGATTACATGTGTCAAGTTAAACAGTCAATATATGTTAGCCTTTTTAATCGACGTCATGAGGTGCACTCTGAATTCGGCACAAGTTTTTCGAGAGAAAAAAAAAAGAAAAAAAAACCGAAGCTACGTTTCTGATCATGTAAGCCCAACCAAGGAGTTTCCGAGTTTACAGAATACATAAAAATACGAAAGTTGCATCCCAAAACACGACGGTATGAATGATGTTGTACACCAAATCCTGGAATTCACTATCGGGAACGTATTTGGTAGAGACATAACTTGCAGAGAACCCGTTCATCGTTGCGACGAATATCAGCCGGGTTCTTTGGTAGAACTGGGTAGAACCGGTATTAAAGTATGAAATAGATAAGACTTTCCGTAAGCTATCTATTCATGTTGATGTAAGGCTTCACAATCGTACGGAATAGTTAAATTGAATTTTTTATTATTCAATACGCCTGAGTAGAGAGATTTGAAAGTGTTTTAAACTTTTTGAAAAATCGCACTCTTAGAAATACCAATTAATTGTAAAGCGATACTTTGTGCAAATACAAACTTTAAAATTGAAATTCGCATCATGAAGAAAAATTGATTTCTTCCGTAAAATTGATGTAGATTTAATTAAAAGAAAATCTCATTCTTTTGTTTGTACAGAAAATTTTTGCAGATGGCGGTGACAAATTTTGTGTCATTAATGCAAAATTAAGTGCATTTTTTTTATGTACTAATTTTGATGCTTTTTAAAATAATTTCTATCTTCAAGCAACATATATATTTTTATGGCGAGTCCGAAATTTGTATAAAGTAAGTGCAAAATGTTATCCGATAAAAATCTTTAATTTCTAGAAAAACTAATGTGTGATAAAAAAAGAAAATTCCATTTTATTATCAGAATTCCGTGTTTTTGAATTAATTGTGACGGCGTGAACGCAGTTCTAGATATTGAGTTATCCTAGCTTATTCGTCTCCTCAAAATATGGCTTTGGTAGGGTTAGGGTATTACGTGGTTTTGCGTCTTCTGCTAATCGGATCGGTTGACAAGATTTTGTAAAAGTTTTAGAACAGTTTATACGATTAGTTCACATTAATGCGCCACAACAGACGTAATTTGTATATCAAATTTTCACATAATTTACAATAAGTTTTCGTGAGAGGCGTGAGAACAATGGTAATTATGTGGTATTATCAGGGTTGGGAAGTAACTTCGTTACTTGTAACGAAGTTACAGTTACAGTTACTTTTTTTCAATAACTGTAACTTAACTTTGTTACTTTCTTTCCTTGTGTAACTTAACTTGCATGTATGCCAAATGCAGGGTTGGGAAGCAACTCGTTACTTGTAACGAAGTTACAGTTACTTTTTTTCAATAACTGTAACTTAACTTCCTGTCTCTTATACAC